AATTTGGTGAGATTTAGGGATATATGGTGAGATTTAATGAGATTTGGTGAGATTTCGAGAGACTGGGTGAGACTTAAGATTTGGTGAGATTTAGCGGGATTTGGTGCGTTTTAGTGCAATTCGGTGAGATTTAGTGCGATTCGGTGAGATTTAGTGAGATTCGGTGAGATTTAGTGAGATTCAGTGAGATTTACCGAGATTTGGTGAGGTTTAGTGAGATTTGGTGAGATTTAACGAGATTTGTTGAGTTTTAGTGAGATTTGGTGAGATTTAACGAAATTTGTTGAGTTTTAGTGAGATTTAATGAGATTCGGTGCGATTTAGCGAGATCTGGTGAGACAAGATTTGCTGAGCTAGCGAGATGCGGCGGTATTTAGCGGCATTTGATGAGGTTGGGCGAGTTTTAGTGAGATTTAACGAGATTGGGTGCGATCTAACGCGTTTCAGTGAGATTCAGCAAGATTCCGTGAGATCTGGCGAGTTTTATAGAGATTTATCATGACTCAGTGAGAGAGATTTAGAGAGATTTTGTGAGATTTCATGAGATTCAGTGAAATTCAGCAAGATTTCCTGAGATTTCAGCTTTGGGACCCGCAGAGGATGGACCCAGGTGGGATCCTGGGACCCCCCCGAAGTCCACATTCCCCAGCATCACCACGGCCGTCCGGCACTCGCGGCGTCTCTCGCCCGGCCAGACCTCGCTATGGTGCCGGGACATTTGGCGCAACCGGGACGAGGGGAACGCACCGGGCCTGTTCCCCCAACCCCAGCGAGGCGGGGATGGCCATCACGAGCAGGCCCCAATTGCAGGGGTGACATCTCCTCCCCGACATCTCAGGGGGGTTCGGGGTGTTGGGAGAGGAGCCACCGGCAGCTCCGCGGTACCAAAATCAGGGTCACCCATATTTGGGTTCATGCTGGTTTGTGTTTTGGTTTTTTTTTTAATTTCCCAAAGCTCAGTTTTGCCGACACGTTAAATATTTCGGCGTCTCATGTCATATTTTGGCGTTTAATTCTCCGATCCTGGTTTTTGACATCCCAGAGCTGTCCCCAGGCCCCTGTGTGAGGACCAGGCCTTCACCCAGAGCTCTCTGCGATAGGGCAGAGGGGTCTGTGGGGTCCCCCAAGGTCTGGATCCCCCCACGAGCCTCCTGCCCACGTGCCAGGGTGAAACCAGGGTGCTGTCAGAGACCCACTGTGGACCAAATCTGGTGGGAGATGAGTGCTAGGACAGGTCCCAGGAGGCCTGGTGGGCCAGGCCGGGCCAGGCCGGGCCAGGTTTGGATGTCAAAGGTCCCACCAGGTCCCTCCTGGCTTGGGGCGGGATGTCCCACCAGGGCAGCAGGCCTACAGGATGGGGTTGACCTGACGGACATGGCTGTCCATGCCCAGGAGAAGCAGTGATGAGGCCAACAGTACCACCTCCTGGCCATGGGGAGGGTTGCGATGGCGGGAAGAAGGCCGAGAAAGGGATCTGTGCACTGAAGAGGACAGGGCTTGTGGCCTCCTCGACGTGGGGACATGTTTCACGAGGAAATTGGCGTTGGGCTGGTCCCCGTGGACGCGGCACCGAGCCACGAAGAGGGAGGCCAGTCCTGGGGTTTGGGGTGCTGGAGGTCCTTGGTACAGGTCGGACGTGGTAATCCTTGCACCAACGAGGAAGATGAGGCGAGGAAAGCTCCTGCCCACGTCTCAACCCCAGAGACTGAGATGCCTCCAGAGGTGGGAAAGCAGCCAGAGTGCCTGTCGGTAGGGGGATCCCATGGCTCTCGTCTGCTGCTCTCTTGGGCCTGCCCTGCCCGACCCGTCCTGGGTGCTGCACCTTGGGGAGACGGTTGCTGAGCTCCTGTGGACACAAAGAGCCTCCTGCCCCACCAGAACCTGGCTGGGACCTGGCCATGGCATTTGGGAGGTGCGAGCATTCCTAGACCAAGGTTGGGTACCCCAAAGAAAACCCAAGATTAATGTACAGCTTGGGGCTGAAGGATTAAGCTCCAGAGGCTGGAGGGGGTTTGGACAGCTGACCCCACCTCCCTGTCTCCAAGGAGCTGGACCTAGAGGTTCCGGAGGTAGAAAGGGACCCGTTCCTCAAGGTTCCCCAAGGCCATCACTCTGCCTTTCTGCCTTGAGGGAGGATTTGAGGACCTACCCTGCAGCAGCGTGGCTGAAATGAAGGTCAACCCAAGAATCCTTCGTGATGGAAAGATCAAGATCTTAATTCCTTCTCCTCTGAGATGCTGAGATTGAATTTCTATTTTCGGTGCTGTGGAATTTCTCAGTGGCTGTGATGAGTTCCGGGTTTAGCCCTGCTCTCCACAGAATCCTTTGCTTTCTCAAGTGCACGTAAAAGAGCGTTAGGCCAGTTACAAGCAGTAGAAGGAGAAGAAATGTGCACCTGCTGTCGGAAAATCGCCACCTTCAGTCAGAAAAGCAGTTTTTACCACGTAAAATAGAAGATTATTGAGAGAAAGTTCATGGCTGGAGTCCTGGGACTTGGATTTTCAGGGCTACGAGGAGTTTGGAAAACAGACAAAGATAAACACAGTTCCCTACCAGAAATATTTTGGTGGTATCACATGGTGAAGAGCTCATCAAGGGACTTGGTGTTTGCTGATCATCTGCAGCTTGAAAGCATTCGGGTTGTTCCCAAGGGACACGTGCGAGCCCGGAGTCAGTGTCAGGAGGAAAATACGGAACAGATAATAAGTTAAAATTGGGATATGTTGTGTGTGAACGTGAAGAGGCAAGCAGTGGAGGAGAAAGGGGTTCCTCAGCCCCGCTTCTGTTCCTCTGCAAGTGGAAAATAAATGCTGTGGAGAGAAAATGGAATATTTTTGTTTGGTTATTTGTTTCTAAGGAGCTTCTACTCCAACTCGGAGCAAGTGAATCCACTTCTCCCACCTGAAACAGGGGAGGAACTGGAAGCAGGTGAGTTCTGTCAGGAGGTGCCTCACCCAGCGATTAAAAGCACACGCTCAAATCTTATGAAGAACAACGTACAGCACATCAAGCAATGAAGACATCAGGGTGACCTCACCATCGTGAGGAGGAGGTCCCTGAAATGTCCCTGAAAGGGCTCTTCGTGCTCTGGCTGGAGCTTCCACATTAAGTTCCTTCTTAAGCCGAGTCTACCGTTTCCAAGCAGGGGAGAGACAACCAAGTCCCAGGCAGAGCGTGTCACAACTCCCCCACGTCACGGCGGTCTCCCGCTGCCTGTGGTCGGATGTACCCAGAAGCAGCCGTGGACGTTATTAATGGGAACAGGCTTTTGCCACAGAAATTCAAGTCATGTCTGGGTGCTGATAAAGCCTCGTCAGCTGGAGAGTCAGCACTGCAATAAGGGGACAGGAAGTTGACAACTGCCCCCTCTGCGTTAGCCCCGGAGAAGAGCAGATAAGAGCCATGAAGCCTCTCAACCAAGGGTCCACGGACACACTAGTTGGTCTGCCATGCCTGGAGGCAGCAGGATGCCAAATCCCAATACGAGAACTCCTGCCATGGTGGTCCTCAGCTTCCTGGAGGGTTCACCAAACTGTCCAACCAAGGAGTGGAGGAAGAGGAGGAGGAAGGGTAGAAGCTGGACCACTCCAAGCAGGGCACCTTCACGAGTCCTCCGGTACCAGCAGGTGCTGGAGGAGAGCAGCCCCCAGCCCAGCTTCAACAGGATGTGGGTTTTTACAGAATCACAGGATGGCTGAGGTTGGAATGAACCTCTTGAAGTCACCCAGTCCATGCCCCTGCTCCAGCAAGGCCACCTAGAACAGGTGTTGAGGACCGTGCCCAGTTTTTTTAGTACCTCCAGAGATGGAGATCACACAACCTCCCTGAGCAACCCGTGCCAGTGCTCCATCACCAGTAAAAAAGTATTTTCTGAGGTTCAGATGGAACGTCAGCTGATCCCCAGAGCCTCTGGTCCTGCCACTAAGCACTACCAAGAAGATCCCAGCTCCACTCTCCCCTCAAGTATTTACACGTATTGAGGAGATTGACCCTGGGCCTTGTCTTCTCTTAACAGTCCCAGCACCCTCAGCCTTTGCTCCTAGGTCCCTCCATCATCCTTCACTGAACTCTCACCAGTGCATCTGTCTCTCTTTTACTGAGGACCCCAGGATATGACACAGACCTCCAGGTGTGGCCTCAGCAGGGTTGAATCGAGGAGAGGATCACCTCCCTCCACCACCACGTGGTCTAATGCAACCCAGGACATCATTTGCCTTCTTTTCGTCGTTGACTTGGCGTCCACCAGGATCCCCAGGCCAATCTCCTTCCCAGCTGGGTGTCCCCCGCAGCACACCCTGGTGCCTGGGGCTGTGCACTGCTTGTGGAAGCAGAGGGGCTCCCAAAACCCAGGGGTTCTACCCCAACAGCCTCCTCAGGAGGAGGCTGAAGGTCACACAGGAGTTTTTGGGCTCCCTCCAGCCCTGCTGGTACTAGAAACAGGGAGACCAGAGTTGCCAGGGCTCAGGACATGATACCAACCCCCTCACCTTGATGATGAGGGAAGATCCTTCAAAAAGGGACACCAGGAGCTGCTGCTAGAGATGTCCTCACTCAGACTCTGTCCCTAGAGCCAGCATCTCTGCTGGAGAAGACAAGGATGGTGGCCCAGGTTGAGGGGAAGACCCTAGTGCCAGCTCCCAAAGGGCAGGCACAGCTTCAGCAGCTCTTTTCTACCCCTCCCAGGGATTTTTTTTGTAGGGGAAAAAAAAGGAGAAGCACAGGTAGTGCAGAGACCCTTGGTGATTTATTGGCGACAGCTCAAATTTGGGTGACCCCACAGCCAGGACTACCAGTTCCTTGCTGGGGACAGCAGGTGTGGTTGTCCCACCAGCACAAGGACACCTTGGGACCCCAGAGGAGATCTGGGCTCGGAGTCTACTCCAAGCTGGCCAGGTCATGGTGTGACCAGCTGGAGGAGGTCTCATCCCCATCCCTCCTCATTGCTCTCTCGGATGCTCCAGGGCTAGGGCATCGTGGCCACACCGACGCTGCTCTCCCACCTTCCACCTCCTCTTGGTCTGTCAACAGCTCTGAGAAGCTGGGACCTCGTTGGGGCAGAGAGCCAGAGGCTTGCTCCTCATCCTCCTCCAGGCTGCAGGCCAGGTCTGGGGGCAGATGAATGGAGAGACCAGGGGGATCAAACTCTGGATCCCAGATATCTCGATCACACACAGGTCCCAGCCCTGCAGAGCAGGATGAGCCCCTTCCAAGGCTGCAAAGATGGCCCCTCAGGGAAGAAGATGGAGAGGACTCTGGAGCACTGAAGGTGGCCCAGAGCAGAAAAGCCACAGTGAGGACATGTCTGGGTGTTTGGTGGCACCAGGGCAGGTTGGAGCAAAGATTGGGAAAGCTGCCCAGGAGCGGGAGCTGGGGATGGCAGAGAGGTGAGGTGCATTAGGGATGATGCTTCAGGGGCCATCACCTTCCTCATCCTGAGCCTCCGATGCTTTCTTCTCTGGGGTCTGGGACAGCAAGGTCAGCCTGTTGAGGGCCAGCAGGGCTTTGCCTGTTTTCTGGCGCGAAGAGAAAAGGAGCACTGAGCCCTACCAGAGCCATCCCCACACCCACGTGCTCATCAGCCACCAGGTACCTGCCACTTCCGACGTGTCAGGAACTGCTTCATCCTCTCCTTCGACAGGGACTTAGTGCTGCTGGGCTGGGGCTGCTGCAGCCAGGGGTGCCCCAGAGCCCCCTCGCTGGACAGGCGGCGGCTGGGGACAGGCAGGGGGGGTCAGGGAGGGCTTCTCCACCATCAGATCCTCAGCTGCTGACACAGCCCAGGGAAGCGTCCCCTCCACCAACCAAATTCAGTGCTTTCCCTTGCCCAACCGTTTGGCACCCCAAAACCCAGCCCAGCACCCCAAAGCCACTTTCAGGTCTTACCGAGGTTCCTTCTGCAGCAGTTGGCTGATGAAGTCCTTGGCGTGCTGTGAGATCTCCGAGAAGGTCTCCTCCTCGAAGTCCCACTGGGCAGCTGTGATGTTGCTCAGTGTCTCCATGTCATTGTCCCCCTGGAAGGGCGACTCCCCGCTCAGCCTGGAGAAATGATGCAAGGACATCAGTGACAGCTCAGCCCACTCCAGCCCCACCTGCTGTCCCCAGGATGCCACTCACAGGATGTAGCAGATGACACCAACACTCCACATGTCCGTGGAGAAGCCCACGGGCTCAAAAGCGACCACTTCTGGAGCCATGAACTCAGGAGTGCCGTGCAACACCTTCACGGGGGTGTCTGGAGCTGCAGAGAAGATGCACGGGGCAGGCGTCCAACTGGGAAGCCCAGCTGAACACCAGCACATGTTGGGTGGGCGAGACCCCGCTTTCAGATGGAGCTGCCCCCCTCCAGGGTCCATCACAGGTCTTGGTGCTCTCTTAGAGCACCCCTGGGTGCCAGACACCCACAGGCACATGGGTCTTGGGGTTCTCCACCACGGAGTGAGGGCCAGGGACACTCGGGTTTCCTAAGAGCACCTTATGGTCACCAGGAAGGGCCCTGGTGTGGGGCCTCTCCCAGAGGACCAGGCAGGAGGATGCCAAGCTCCTTGCTGATGTGCCCGGCTAGCTCAGGTCCCTGTGATGGTGACAGTCCCTGCCTCGATGCCCCAGGACCCCCATTCTTGCTCCCCCAGCTTCCGCGCCAAGCCAAAGTCAATGATCTTGAGCCAGTGGCTGCTGGGGCTGACGCAGACGATGTTCTCGGGTTTAAGATCAAGGTGGACGACGGCCTGGCCATGCATGAAGCGCAGCCCCTCCAGGATCTGCCGCATGTACTGGACGCTGCTGGGCTCCGTGTGCTCAAAGTCGTCATCCACAATGCGCTCAAAGAGCTCCCCACCCGCCACGCTGGGGGAAGGACAAGGTGCTGGAGACACCATCGAGGTCTACCAGCCCCAAGGAGGACAAGTCCCACTGGGGAACCCAGACTCTGTGCTCCGGGAGCATTTCCCCATCCATGTCTCCAGGGTGTGCAGGTTCCCCATCCATTCTACACCCCCTGCCAGCACACCATGGTGCAAGGATCCCTCCCTGCCTGCCACACTGGGCAAGGAGAAGGTGCTGGGGAGCCCCTCAAGATCTATTAGCCCCAAGAAACAGAAGGTCCACTGGGGAACCCAGACTCAGTGCTCTGGGAGATCCTCACCCCCCAGATCTCCAGGGCCTGCAGGTTCCTCACCCATCCTACACCCCAGGCGAGTACCCTGTGGTGCAGGGACCTCTCCCCACCCTCAACATTCTTCTCCCTGGCAGAGCCCAGCACTGTCCCCACCATCTCCCAAACTTGACCCTGTCCCCGACACTCACTACTCCATCACCATCACCAGCTCGGCAGGGCCCTGGAAGGCGGCGAGGCACTGCACGAGGCGCGGGTGATGCAGCAGGTTCATGAGTTCCACCTCAGCCTGAGCCGCCTGCTTCTCCTTAGCTGTCCGCGTCCGGAAATATTTCCCAGCCCGAATTTTGCCGGTGGCTTTTTCCTGCAGCCGGTACACCGTCCCGAATTTTCCCCTGCAGCGGGGCGAGGGATAGAAGAGCCATCACCACCAGCCTGCATCCCACCCAGGGCTGCACATGGACACCACGGACCATCCCCAAGTGGTGGGAACATAGGGCCCCCACTTACTCTCCCAACTTCTCCAGCTGCGTGTAGACATCCAAAACCTTCTCCTGGCTGTTGATGACCACGTTGCAGTATTCAAAGGGCTCTTCACCTCCTGGGAGGGATGGAGCAGGGTGGTCCACACGTGAATCCCTCACCCTTTGGGAACAAGTGCTTATTTCTGTGCCCACCCCCCAGCTCCACCCAGCTCTGACTGCCCTCCCTCCATGGTGCAGATGGGACCTGGGGACAGGGACTTCTGCCCCAGGAGCTCCTGGAGCAGCCCAGCACCTTGCAATTCAAGGTTTGGGTTGAAAGGTGCTTTTAAGATCAAAAATCCAAGGGAAACAGGGCCATAGGATGGAATTTGTGCATTGGGATCCCTGTGCAAAGCCTGTGCCTCCCCCAGGACAGACCGAGGGCTCAGCCATACCTTCTGCCTGGGACATGGTGGTGCCACCAGCTCCTCGGTGGGTGCAGCACGGTCAGGATGGGTGCTGGATGCCCGCAGTGTTCCGGCTGCTTCCTGGAGCCTCCCCACCTTCTCCCTGCGGTGCAAGACCACCGGCATCGCTCCAGCTCCACCTGCACTCCCCAGCCTACCCAAGAGCCAAATATCTTGATGGACCCAAAAAGACCCAACCCAAATTCAAAACAACGTCCCTTCTTAGCGGGACAGCCTCTTTCCAGTAGTGCCTTGGGCTCAAAGCCGAGGTTTTTCTCATGCCCCGTCTTGCATCAGTCAGGAAATCCCCAGGAAAAGCCACATTTCTAGAGCAAAGGACCTATTTCCTTATACGCTTCGCCCTGCTCCTCAGTCTCTGTGAAGTTTGGAAGGATGGAGCGATGACACCCAAGGGTGCTGGGCATCAACACTCAAAGCCAAGAGCCACCACACTGACCTGTCACTGTTGCGTCTTTTCCTGGGCCACCAGCAGGTCCTTGATCCTTCTCAGTCACTGAGGAGCCACCGGCAAGCTGGAGGAGGAGGAAAGGGTGATGTTGGGGGTCACAGACTGCAGGGGCAGGAAGGGGCGGTGTTGGGGGTCAAGGACTGCAGGGGCTCACCCACAGGGGTGTCTCGGGGTGCAGGCAGGAGCATCCCTCTTGCTCCGGGGCTGGGAATGGTCCCAGCCTTCCCCTCCCTTT